CTTTCGTATGACATTTTTAGGTTTACAGTATTCAGAGATTAGTATTTAAACTTGATAACCATTCAACTGCTTCAGGGGTTGGCTGCATGGATTGATTTTCATATATTTATGTACATATTCTTGATTAAAGGTTTTCTTCACCATCCCAAGAAACTTCCTCCTTTTATGAGGATGAAATGTTATGGGAAAATAATAGAAATGTCTAGTCACAGTTCTTTTATGTTAACTTTCATATACGTTTCAGTTTCTGCTCCAAAATCCTACTGGATCATGATGATTGTACACCTGGACAACTCCTCTCCCCCAGAATGTTGTGTAACAAAAGCATTCTGATTAGGTCTTCATTAAATACAGGGGAAGACAGACTGGTATTCTTCGTGGACAATTTTTTCCTTTTCTCTGCATCTTTACATAAACCGTTTGAGTCTTTTAAAACAGTTGAAAATTATTTTTGATAAAAAATAGTTTTTGGAGCAAAATGGGGGTTCTGGTAAAAAATGTTTTAGTTTGTTTTATTTCAGTATTTCAATTTGTGGAGAGAGAAAATTTCAAACCAGATTTTGTTTAAGAGTTCCCTTTCTAGGTGGTGTCCCATTGTCAAATAACTAACATTTGGTAGGAAATAATGAAAAAAAAAATCCTACAAAAAAAATATTGGTTCTTTTTATCAGCATTATTTCTTAACAATTTAATTGTACTACTTTTAATGATAGTAGTGTGTTTCCAGCAAATAAATACCTTGATAAGCTTCTCAAGGACTTACTGTTTTACACTGCTTTGCTTTTCCTTCTTTCAAGTGCAGAACCACCTAAATCAGTGGTTCACAACTCAAGGCACTCATTGGAAAGTGCCAGCTCTGAACTTTTAAAAGCATTTTTAGTGCAATTACTATTACAAGGAATTCATAAACATTACAACAGGTTTTTGATGTTATGGATTCATGTTTGGGTTTATCTTTTGAGTCATGTATAGGTGTTTGAACACCTAAGAGTACTAGTATCGTGCAGCTCCCTGTGGCACACTTAAAATGATCTCAGTGCGCTCAAGAATTTTCAACCCTAGTTGAAAATCACTGACCAAAATGTTTGTGAAAGCAAATTCAGTCATTGTCCCATTCCTTGAGGAATTTGAAACAGTGAATTAAGCATTACATTAACTGCCTTCTTATGCTGAGCTTACCTTTCATTTTTCTTTCTGTTTCTAATTTCAACCCTTCTCTCCTTGGAACTTGTAAAAGAACTTTTATCAAACCATTTGTCTTGGGACCTCAGGTCTACAAAGGCAGAGATCCCAAGATTGCATTTGTTGACGATAAGAAGATAGCACATTTTTGCAAGGCCTATACTCTCAAAAGCAGCAAATCTAGAAAATACTGACTTTGCAATTTTGCTGTTACACTTGAGAATTTCTGTACAGTCCTTGTATCTCCCATTCCTCTGATTACTTCACCAGTAGGAATCTTCAGAGAATCTGAAGCCAAAGGAACAGATAAAATGGAATGACGATCAGGAAGAGCAATAGAGTGCATTTTCCACTCTCAAGTTAGTGTGAAAAGTGCCTTTATATTTCCATATATATTTATTTTTCTTTTTTTAGTTTCGTGTTTAGTTGGCAGCTTTTTGTACATGTACTCATCTTGAAAGTAGTTGAATTCCTTGATGTCTTAAATAGTGGGCCACTTGTCAATCAAACTGAGTATAATCATTTTTTTGTCAAATCAGGTGCAGGCGCACTCTTGGAGTTTTCTGTGGCTGTGCTTATTATTTATCTACTCTAGATTTATCCAGTCTATTTTTTCTTGTCTAGCTTTAAAGTGTTCTTTGATGTTTGTTGAAACACAGTTTCAATTTTCATTTCTCATTCAGTCTGTAAATTATTTTTGTTTTTTTTCCAAATAATTTGTAATCTTAGCTGCTCCTTCATCCTTAAGCCCAGATCAGTGTACTCATTTTTGGTAACTGGAAATACCAAAGATAAATATTTGAGCTTGTTAGACTTCTCTTGAATTTTTTAAAATCTAATTTGAAATTTAAAACATTTTGATGAAAATTGTGCTAAAGCTGTCATCCATTTTCTATCCAATTTCAAGTTAATGGATTTTTTTTCAAATTTCAAAATGCTGTCAAAATGTAAGGGAAAAATAAGATCACATCCTCTTGGTTTGTTTATTCTTGGATATATTCATAAGTGCAGTGGTCTCTCCTCAAGCATTTGCTGTCCCCAGCAAATCGTAACTCCTTAAATTTCTTTCAGTCCCAACATGAGGACCTTTCTGCTTCTATTCTTTGATAAATTCCCAGAACCAGTTGACTTCCCTCCTAGCTGGCAAACACTTCTACGCAATGACCAACATCCAAATCCTAGTTCTCAATTGCAAATGATTTACACTACCACTTTCCATCTTTAACAAATGCTCAGAACAACCTTCCTCTTTTTCTCTGCAGAAAAGGCTTTGGGTCTTTTCCTAATAACAATGAACCAGTTGGCATTCATTTACCGAAGACTAATCCCTTATCTGCTCTGTTTCTTACAGGCACGAGACAAGTTACTTATCAGTCTCTAAGGTACTACCACTTAAGTGTAGTAACACCTAAAATTAAGGCACCTTTTCCTAAGTGGACAATTCATATTGACAGAGTTATGTACCTCAGCTTCCTATAAGTGAATGGGAAAAACTTGGTGCTGCCAAAGTTCAATCTATATCTCAGGCATGGACTAAATTAATCAAAGCAGCACTTTACTTTCAGCTTGGTGTACCAGATGCCCCTACACCAAGCTCAGTGCATGCCCAGAAGAGGAATCACATCAGTTTGACCTGGATCACTCAGCGTCTGTATAGTTCACATGCTTCAGTGGGGCTTTTTGGCATTTCTATCTGATATATGATTAAATCAGCTATTAGATAAAAGTGCCAAAATGCCCTGCTGAAGCATGCAAACTATACAGATGCTGGGGAGCTGGGTCAAACTGGCACAATTCCTCTTCTGGTAAAGGGGGGGGGGGCGTTCCCCATGTCTGTCAGCATATTAAATGTCTGATTCAAGCTGCAAAGGAGGCACTTCTAACATGTCAAGACCCAGATTGCTCACGGGGAGATTCCTATCTGACAATGGCATTGGCTTCAGTATAAAGCATAGCATTCCCCGTTCATTTGTAGATAAAAATAGGGACAGCTGTAGCAGTGCTCATGTTTTGCCTAGTAGCAGAGGCATTGGTCCAGGAAGATGGGAACCTGGATTCAAGGCCCTCTTTTCTTGAGGAGACTATCCTAATGACCAGACCATGAGGTATGCAAAGTTCTACCCCTAGGCCTTCAGGAATGTAAGCTGCATTAGGCTAGAGGGAAATCAGACAAACCAGAAAAAATGAGGCTGACTATTCCAGAGAAGAGGCACTTCTTTGAGGGTGGAAACAGATGTCACCCGGTCTTATTTATGCCACTATACCATTTTTATTGAAAGAAAAATTGTGAGCAAATAGATGTTGTTACCCTTTTTGTGCCACAACAAAGGAAAATCAGTGGTGTGACAAAAGGTCATAATAGACTCTGCTGCTTTATTGTAGAAGATATATATTAGCTCTGTGTGGGAGAATACAGGCAGCCTCAGCTGCTCCCACTCTTCAACCCTCTTGGGCAGCTGCTATGTAGACTTCAGGACTCCTCAAGCCCCTCAACCACTTGCCTACCTTTCCTGCTTACAGAGAGGCACCCCAGGGAATCTCAGGGTGCCTCTCCATAAGTGAGGAAGTTAGGGTTACCTGTTCAGCCAGATCCAACCCCTTGAATTGCAGAAGCAAATCTGGTTGAGTGGGAGAAAGCCCTGTTTTCCACCTCTCAGCCAGACTCACTCCTGAGATCATGGGGGACAGGTCTGGCTGAGTGCAGAAACGGGGCTTTTCCTACTTAGCCAAAACTGCCTCTGAGATCCCATTGCCCCTTGTCCCACACCATTGATGGTGGGACAAGGAGCAAGGTTTTTTGCTGAATGAAATGGATCAGCTGTGCTTTGACACATTGTCTATTTTTAGCTTTAGGAAGGGGATTCCTGGATTTGGTCCTTTCTGTTCAGACTACTTAGACATTTTCTATTAGAAAGCCATTGGCTAAAAACCCCAAATAACCCTGGTCACAGGGGCCAGGATCTAAGACTCCCTTCTCTCAGAGGAGCACTCTGCTCACTGAGCCACTGAGTCACATTTCCTTTTGCTTGTTCTTCCTCTAGCCCCCATTAATCATACACTCTTTGCTACCTAGCAACTGTGTGTTCAGTAGGGCTGTGTGAAATTTCACCGGGTGTTTCGTTTCAACACTGTTTCAACTTGTCTCAAACTTGAAACAGCAAAATCGAAATGAAATGAAAGGATCTGAAAGAGCCTTGAAATGAAATGAGGGCAGTTTAAATATTTTTAAAGATTTGAAATGTTTCGCATTTCGAAGCTGGGCTTGCTTGCAGGGAAACAGAAACTAAGGAGAGGGAGCGGAGAGTGGGGAAGGACTGCTCTGATATTGTTATGTGTAGCTGGCCAGTGACTGTGATCCTTCCCTGAGGTCCCTTCCAATACCAATGCTCTGGGGAAGGGATGGAAAAACAGCATGAAAAGCAGCATTGTTTGAACTAAGCTTTCTGCCTTGGGGTCAGTTACCCTAATGTTCAGGGCTCTCTTCCAGGATCTGGGTTTCCCACTTCCTGGACATGTTCTCTTCCCAATAAGCTACTGAGCAAAAAGGAACATCACCACATCTAGGTCTTATACTACCTTGAAGATGTTCTTGGCACTATTTGGGTAATACAACCACCACTTTTGAACCATCAGCCTTGTAGCAGGGCACTAAAGTGCCTGCTACTTGGAGAGCCGGGATAACTCCTCAGGTGCTGGTTGCTGAGGCAACTAGAGGGAATTAATGACCCACACCTGTCTAGCCAGCTGACAAGAAGGGGCAGGGCCTGGCTTCTATATAAATCACAGGCAAGAGGCCAGGAGGGAGTTCCACACCAGCAGCTGAGGAGGAAGGAGCTCTTGATCATGAAAGAGAGGAGAAGCCTGAGGCAGGAGCAACGTCTGACTGCTGCAGGATGAAGAAACCCCGGTAGGCTTGAGCGTGATTATAGCTGGGTGGCTTCTGTTTGTGCTATAGCCCAGGGGCTTGCATTTGTGTTGTTGTTTGTAAACAGTGGTTTGGGTGAGGCTATTAGGGGCTGGAGGAGGCCTCATAGGGGCCCACAGCAGTGTGGGAACCACAGCGCCAGCAAGGGCACAGCATTCAGGGTGCACTGACCCCAGCCCCAGAGAGGGGCAGCTGAGAAGCCCCAGAGAAGGGGGCATTGCTGAGAAGCCCCAGTGCGGGCATGGTGAGCCCTGGAGAGAGGGCGGCATTACTGAGCAGGCCCTGGAGGGAGGGCGGAGAGCCCGAGAGAGAGGGAGGGCGGAGAGCCCGAGAGAGACAGACAGACAGACAGACAGACAGACATTATTCAATCTGTGAGGCTTGGGGCATGGTACAGGGGTAGTTGGAGCCACGCATAGCCCATAAGGCTGGAGGGTACAGGAACACTCACTACCGTAGAAGACTTAGAGATAACAGAAGAACCATGAACCAGATGACGAAAGGCAGCCTCCCTATAATATATAGATATAGATCGATATATCTATATCTATATCTATATCTATATCTATATCTATATCTATATCTATATCTATATCTATATCTATATCTATATCTATATCTATATCTATATCAGTTCAAAGTTGTGGCAGACGAGAATTGGAGGGTGCCATTCGGCAGCTTGATGCAGTAAAGGAGGTGGCAGTGGAGAGCACAGTGACCCTGACCGCCCTCCTGCTACAAGCCTCAAAAAGTTCCTAGCCTGACCTTGTCTAAGGAAGTGGGGATTTCTGTGAAATTCATAGACCTCCCAACATTAAATTTCCTTACAAACAATAGAGTTTAGGTGAGAGTGGGGCATTTTGTGATTTGCCTGGGTTGCTTCAAGCTTTTGAGCACAAATATTACTCCAAGTCTAGGCATCTGGGATTCTTTCTAGGTGACAATGGAGGAGCATAATGGATTTAGATACATAAAGGTGTTTATGGACATTGAACAGAGAGTATCAGAATAGGTATTTATGATACAATTGCCTAAATTCTCAATCCTGTTTATATACCATAGAGGTCAATTTGTCATGTATATTAATCTCTTACCTATTCTTCTTTTCCATGAGATGATGGAACCTGCTACTATTCCCTCCCCAACTTCCTGTTCCTTTGACCACTTCCTTAGCAGATATTTTCTATCTCAAAATATTTAAGAGCATGATCTAAGGATTAATTTGTAATAGTTTTTATGATATAATACATAGTATAAGAATTTTCAGGTGAATTTTCTTGAACAATTAAAATCTTTTTTCCTTGTCTCCTTGCTTGATGTATTTTTTTGCCTTAGTGTTTCACACTGGTGGGCTTTTCACTCTCTTTATCTTAACATTTTCTTTGAACACACTCCCTCTTTGAAGGTTGCACGTCACAGGCTATGGTCAATCAAATAACTTTACTTTATCTTACACATGTCATGCCATTTGATATTAATAATTTGCTGTCCTAAAGCATAAGGTTCATTTTGAAAAGATTCTTAATCCTTGCACTTTTGGAAACTGATTTCAATTGCCTTCTCTTCTTTCACATACATACATATCAGAATTATAGTATAACCTGTGCTTCAGCAAAGTTATATGAATCAGGAATATCAAATGAAATGAAAGTAGAGACTGACATGACAATTTTAATTGCTATTATTCTTACATATGGTGGGAAGCAGACAGATTTCTGAACTAGATGGTAAGTAGTCCTGGTACAGAGCTGTTCTGCTTCTCTGTTTGTTTGGTTTTGTTCATGGATTTTGCATTTTATTTGCCTCATATCTTTCTGGGGTAATTTGGATTTTTGGTTGGGAGAAAATTCAAGCTCTTTGAAGAGTGCTTAAGAAAAGACTGAGACACCTGTCAAGCTGGTTTTATATGACTGCTGCTGAAAGTGGGTGGATGGTGCCACACACAGCACTTCATTCTTGAAAGCAGGACTGTTTTATTGAACACAAACAGCTATGCAAAGATTGGATTTGCTTCCTAAAACTAGGGTCTCTACAAGACTCTGTTCACACCACCTATAAAACACTGTATATTTTCTTCAGAGATATAAAGTAGCTGGAAGATAAATTAGTTGATTTGTAACACTGCCCTCTGTCCCCCTTACTGGTTACAGTAATAGCATAGGGGAAAAATACAAGAAACATGAGGTAACTTATAAAAAAGAAGGTGGGGGGAGCGGTGGTTTACCAGAAAAAAATAGAAACTGGGAAGTTCAATGTTTTCCTTCTCCTGTGGAAATAAAATATTTTCAATTATTAGGATGAGTTGTTTTCTTTGATTTCGCTAGGAGGCTTCTGAATAGAGTGGGCTGATTTTTATTTTTTTTATTTTTATAATGAATAGTTTATTGCATGGCTAATTCAGATTTTGGGTTATTTAAATAATTTATTTGATATTATGTAAAATTACATGAATATTTTTATCAAAAAAATTAAAACACCTTTACAAGTCAACCCTTCCCCTAACAGTCCCCTGTACTTTGATATATGCAAAGTTAAATGTTTGGATATTTTGTATTGAAACTTTTATTTAAAAAATTGCAAAACCTTAATAATAAAAAAGATTTTAAAATTTCAGACAATTAGAACAATGAAAAACCCTACTGAACTGAAACATTTGAAGAAAACTTTCAGAATTTTTTTTATGATTGTCATTTAATATGGGGGGAGGGGAATGATTGTGTTCAAATTGCTACACAAAGGAAGTGTATTTTATATTTCTAGTGACTGTGCCTTTTGACAAATTAAGTTGGTAATCTAGAACCATTGCAACTTGTGGTACAACGTCAGTGAGGTGGTTTAGTTCGCTACAAATTGTTTCAGGTGATTTTGACAGAGTTGCACCACTATTAAACTTAAGTTATGCTGTGGTGATTCCAGACTAGGTACACAGTCAGGTATGTGGTTAGAGCTGTGCAGTGTTCAGCTGAAACTATAAACAGATGTGTAATCTGGGATGATCTTTTCCCTATGTAGTGCTATTAAACATATTTTATTACCATATTTTTTTGAATACAGCACATACCTTACCCCAAAAAATCAACTTCCCAAAGTTAGGGTATGTGTGTTAAACCAAGAAGCTGATTGTTGTGTTTTCCCAAGGACAGAAGCACCCTGCTTAGATCACTGACCCACAGTACACCATCTGCTGTATTACTCTTCAGGCAGATGAGGGAGTCAATGACCCATTCATGGGCCACTGAGTTAATGGCCCACTGTTCTTCACTTCACAGATATTTCATAGATTTTAGGGTCGGAGGGGACCTATTAGATCATAGAGTCCAACCCCATGCCCTGGGCAGGAAAGACTGCTGGTGTCAGATGACCCCAGCCAGGTGTTTGTCCAAACTCCTCTTAAATACCTCCAAAGAAGGGGACAGTACCACCTCCCTTAGAAGTGTATTCCATATTCTGGCAACCCTTACTGTAAATAATTTTCTTCCTGATGTCCAATCTAAATCTGCTCTCCTTCAGTTTGTGGTCATTGTTTCTAGTCACTCTCATGGGCTCCCTTTAATACATATATTAAAGATTGTATCTTCTTTTTAATGGTCTTGACATTCTATTAA